TTTCTGGTTTTCCATCGTGGCAAAGACTAATTTCAATACTAGACATTTCGCTAGCTCCAGCCGAGTTAACTTCAATTTACCGGAATGGGCGGCAAAGGAACTCAATTGTATCGATTGTACAAGTCGAAGGATTCGATTGCACAAGATACAAATTCGGAGACCACTTGATAAGAGGATTCTGCATAGGAATTACATCCCTACACGGGGCTGTGAACCCCGCCATATATGGTGGGCCTCGGACTTCAAGTTAGTCAGGCTAAACATATGATTTCTGGGTCGGAGTCGTATGGCCAATTTGGGCCTTGTAGCACCAGGACCATGTAGCTATTTATTAATGGAAACCAAAGCCCACCGATACGCACCTGCCGCCGCATCGACTTTGTCGCTCTAGTCGTGCACACTGCACAGCTCTGCAAAGCCAACTTCGGCTAGTCCGGCACTGGGCAAGAGCTCGGCGAGCGCCCGCAACTCCGCTGGTCATCGCTCCGCCCTAAGGATAGCTCCGTCCCCCGTTTGGCAGTCTTGCCATCGTCCGAAGATCTGCCAAGACCAACGGCCTAATGACCTATCGATGATTGCTTCTCCATGACGAACAAATTATAACGATCAGTAACATCGTCCGTGCAGAAAACATCCTCTCATCTCGTGTTGGTCAGGATCCATTGCTGAGGGCTTAGGGCAACAATTGCTCAAGGCCTTAGGACGAGACTCAATATTTTGTTTCCTATTGATCGAAAATTACAGTGTTTTTTTTTTGGTTTGTTTTTCTTTTCAAAGAAGATCAATAATTACGACGTTAAATGGCATAATTCTATTTTTCCATGTAAAAAGATATTAATTTTTCTCTGTGCTGGTAAATTCCAATAAATGACATTTAGTGTCGAAAACTGTTGGTTAAAAAATGACCAATGACTTTCTTCCGGGGAACTTATTGGTTAATTACCAATACGCTTAAGAAGTTACCACTTTTTCATAGCTTGTAAATTAGCAGTTTTTATATTAATTAACTATCTTTTATTTGCATAACTTAGCAACGCTTTGAATTTACTTATATGAAAATTATCAACCTAAATGAAAATGATTTACCAAATTTTGTTCGATTAATTGCCAACTAGTTTTTCTATTACTAACGCCCATTTAAATTATTTACCAACATTTAATTATACTCTAAAATTTATCAACTTTTCAATTGAGTTGACACTTTTTATTTGTTTTGGTTAGCAACCGATTATATTTACTAAATGCTAGTCCGATAACCCAATTATGTGTTGAAAACTAAAAACTATGCACATATTGAGATTAAGCTTCTTTGATAATCTAAAACAGAATTGACTTAAACTATTCAACTAGATAAAAAATCCACGTAATCTATTAAATAAGGGAGTGGTCTTTTAATTCTACTAATAGAAAAATAATGGATGATAATTAGAATCTTGCAGATAAAACCTACCAACAATGGTTTTTTTTATATATATATATGGTAAGAGGTTAATATAATTTAGCTGTCAATTCTTTATCATTATCAAACAATTTTTTAATTTTACTTTTAGCACTTAAGATTGTTGACACTTAAAATTCAGTATTTAAATTTTCAGTTGTACGAAATAGGCGAACTCTTTTTAGATTTTTCCAACCTAATTAACTTGACTCACCAACTTTTCTCTCATTAAAGCTCTGTTCGTTTTGCGGAAAATATTGCGTTTCTAGAAAGTGGAACAATTTTTCGGTGTTCGGCTGAAATCTGAAAAAGTCTCGGAAAATATTTTCTGTTGTTCGGTATGGGAAAATTTTCCTCCTTGCACTACTTTTAATATATTTTTATTTTTATTTTTTGAAAATATTTTTAATATTCTTTTTTATTTTCTTTTTCTTCTTTTTTCCTTCTTCTTCTTCTCCGGCCGGCTGCCGGCGAGGTTCAAGCTTGCCAGATTCCAAGGACGTCGAGCCTCGCCGGCCTATGGCAAGGCTCCGTCTCGCCTAATTCGGCGAGGCCGAGCTCGAGCCTTGCCAGATCTGGCGAGCTGGGCAAGGCTTGAGCCTCGCCCGACGTCGCCAAAGGTCGGTGAGGCTCTGGCGACCTCGGGCGAGGCTCAAGCCTCAGCCAGCTCGCCCATGGCCGGTCGAGGGAGCTAGGGCAAGCTCGAGTCTCACCGAATCAAACAAGGCAGAGCCTCGCCACAGGCTGGCGAGGCTCGAGCTCGCCTGTTGTCGATTGCTGACTGCCGTCGTGGCCGGCAACCAGCCGGAGAAGAAGATAGAAAAAAGAAAGAAAAAGAGAAAAAATAAAAATAAAAATAAAAATAAAAAGATAATTAAAAAATTTTACAATTTAAAAAAAAAAGAAAATAAAAATAATTATAATGAATGATGAAAGAAGGATGGGGGAAAATTTTTTCCTCTTTTCAAAAAGAGGAAAATATTTCCTTCACTTTTGAAGGTGTTTTGTCTATTGAGGAAAAATGTTTTTCATAGCCAATTTATTTTCCGTGAAACGAACGCAGAAAACTCAAAAAATATTTTTCTGGAAGTTGTTTTTCGTGAAACGAACGGAGCCTAAATTACTACATACTCTTAAATTACCAAATCTCATATGGGTTACTTACGGATATTTATTTACTTTTTTTTTTTCTAATTCACAACTTTTCTTATCGTTTACAAACTTTTTATTTGCATTTCTTAGCGTCTTAAATTTACCAACTTTTTAAAAAATTACCAACCCTAAATCAGAGGGGAAGATTGCACAATCAGTCGTAAACTTATTGTGTAGAATTCAATAGAGTCTTAAACCTTCTAATTGAATCGATTTAGTCCTAAATCTTTAAGAGCAAGTGTATTGATGTCCTCTAGGCCAAGTCTTGCCCGACCTATTTGATGTGGCAATCCAGTCATCTCCAATTGTCGTGCTTGTAACGGCAACGGCATGGCATGGATTGACATTCAACAAAACTAGTTGTTTTTGCTTGGATAAAATGTATCGTTCTCGATCTTGTAACTAAAGCCTGAAATCAACCTCAAATCCCCAAATTCTCACCAATCAATCTCTCTTATTCAAAACCTAATTCCTCTTACAAACCCCAATCCAATTTTGGCGGCTAAAGTTGAAGCAAAGATGAAGATGACCTTGAGATTCTGCAGCAAAAACGATAATGAGTGGTCGTGTTAGGTTTACAGTCCACCATCTTCAATTTTTGACAAAACACGAGGAATAAGACGAAGAATCAGTCAAAATTATAACTTTGATTGTAGTCCCTTCAAGAGTGTGTTGTCTTTTTATAATCTATTTCGTTGTTTATGTTGGTCTCTTCGCATGTGATGCGTTGATAAATCACTCAAGTAAAGATTGGTTAATTTACATAGAACTCGGTAAATTTAAAAAATTGGTAAGAAAGACAAATAGAAGTTAGTTATAATTTAGGGACAAGTGCACCACAAGTCCTAAAATTTGTCACAAAAGTACATTTGAGTCCTAAAACTTGCAAAAAGTTCATTTGAGTCCTAAAACTTGTCAAAATAGTTCATTTGAGTCCTAAAGTTAACACCGTTAGATTTACTAACGGAAAACGCTGACGTGGTGCCGACATGTCATTTTTAATTTTTTTCTTGAGACACGTGGCGCCACGTCAGCAAAAATAAAAATAAAAATAGAAAAAGCTGTAAAAAAACCAAAAAAAAAAAAAAGGAAAAAAAAAACAGAACCGGCGGTGGCCAAGCCCGGCGGCCACCGCCGCCACAGCCACCGGGAAGGACCGGCGGAGGTCGCCCGGGCCTTCCCGAAGGCCCGGCGACCCTCGCCGGCCCCAGCAGTCCACGGCGAGGACTCGCCGACGGGCGAGGTCGCGCCTCCCGATCGAGGTGCCCTCGCAGGGACCGGCCCGGCGAGTCCCCGGCGAGGGCCGACTACCCTCGATCCGGGGGAGGGTCGGGAAGGCCCAGGCGACCTCCGTCGGCCCCGTGCGAGTCCCTCGGCGAGGGCCGGTGACCCTCCCGGATCCGAGCGAGGGTCGCGCTCACCCCAGTATCCGAGCTAGGGTCGCCCTCGCCGGGACTCGCACGGGACCGGTGGAGGTCGCCCGGGCCTTCCCGCCCGGCGACCCTCGCCGGCCCCCGGCGAGTCCCGGCGAGGGCCGGCGACCCTCGATCTGGGGGAGGGCGCGACCCTCGCCCCAGATCTGAGCGAGGGTCGCTGGGGACTCGCCCGGGGCCGGCGAGGGTCGCCGGGCTTCGGGAAGGCCCAGGCGACCTCCGCTGGTCCTTCCCGGTGGCTGTGACGGCGGCCGCCGGGCTTGGCCACCGCCGGTTCTATTTTTTTTCCTTTTTTTTTTTTTTTTTTTTTTTTACAGCTTTTTCTATTTTTATTTTTATTTTTGCTAACGTGGCGCCGCGTGTCTCAAGAAAAATAATTAAAAATGACACATCAGCACTACGTCAGCGTTTTCCGTTAGTAAATCTAACGGTGTTAACTTTAGGACTCAAATGAACTATTTTGACAAGTTTTAGGACTCAAATGAACTTTTTGCAAGTTTTAGGACTCAAATGCACTTTTGTGATAAGTTTTAGGACTTGTAGTGCACTTATCCCTATAATTTATAAAACTGTTGATAATGTTGTCAATAAATTTTGATAATGTTGTCAATAAATTACTAGGAAGTCAAGTTTTTTGGCACTTACAAGCTCTTTCAGAAATTCATCAGCACCGAAAAAAATCCTTTTTTTCAACTAAACAATAGAATTGTCCTGGTAAACAAGAAAGAAGGAAAAAGGAGAGGGAGCTATTGCTTCCAAAGCTAGTTTCCTCACCGGTACCAAGTAGAACAATGGCTAAAACACTAGAAGAAAGTCAACTCAAATTGCACATCTAGAGGCAGCCATTTCTTCCCTCTAAAGCAATCAATTTAACATCATAAAGAAACAAGTTCATCACTGGAAAAGGTTCAAGTTAAAATACTTGTCACACCACTCCACACTCCAATGCCCTTCACGATCAATCTCTGACCTCCGAGATGCAGATCTCATCTCTCTTCTCCATCTTCATCTTCTTCTCCTCCTCGCTCACCTACGCTTCAGTAATTCACGGTAAGTCTCACTACATTCCAAGTCGAACGCATACAAACAAGCTCAAAGCTTCTAGGATTTCCTACATGACTGGTTGCTTTTCTTTTTTATATATCTTTTTCTCTCCAGATTTCGCGCCAACTCCAGAGCCCTCTTCCTCTGCCGTGGCATTTCTGCCGCCGGAGCGGGAGCCGTTTCCAGACGATGGCTTCGGATTTGCCTCCACGGATTACTCCCCACCGGCACCATCGCGGTCATCCAAGCGTCCGTCGCCTCTGCCAGCTCCAGCGTTAGCACCAGCGGGAGGTCCATCTCCAGCCGCGGTGGGGGGAACAAGTGGAAGTGTGGATGAGGATTCTGGCGAGAGCAGCTCTCGGCCGCCACCGGTGGAGTCGGAGGAGACGGTGAGATGGTGCACGGTGAGGGGGGAAATGGAGGATTGCCGCTTACTTTTGAATCTGTTGAGCCAATCTAGTAATTACTCGTGGACATGGTAAGTTCAAGAGGAGAACAATACTCAGCTTCATGAGTTTTTAATCAAGTAAATGATGAAAGACCTTCATAAGTTTCTGCTACATTTTCCCTCTCTTACTAGTGTCATCAGAGACAGCACCAACGAGTGCCTTGACTCCATCAGAAAAGGCGAAGCGGACATCATAAACTTAGAAGCAGGCTCAGCATTCACCGCATTCCTCAACTATTCAATGAAAGCCATATCAAATGAAGTCTACTGCAACCGCGCCGAGTCCTACAACGCCGTCGCCGTCGTCCACCGAAAGTCCTGCGAGGCCAAACGAGACCTTAACCTAATGGACTACAAGGGCCACAGGTCTTGCCACGGAGGATACTCCTCCGCCTCCGGATGGACCTACCCCATCGATCACATCAAGAAGTTGGTCGGTTCCGATAAAATGGACGATGTTGACATTGTGGCAAATTTCTTCTCCAAGGTCTGCGCTCCATCCGATTCTGACCTCGGAGGACAAGCGATTTGCAGCGGATGTCGTGACAAGAATGAGAACGTCACTAACTGCCACCGGGACAGTTTGTACTATGGCGACACGGGCGCATTTCGGTGCCTCATGGAAGGTTTGGGTGATGTTGCATTTGTGAGAGGAGACACTGCTCTGCTTTACTCCATGGATGGGCCTTATAATCAGTCATGGTCTAAAAGATCAGTAAGAGACTTCATGTATGTATTTTGACTATTGTACATAGTTTGAGCTAAGTTAACATTACTTAAAATTCCTAGTTGACTGTTTAAGATTTGATCAGATCATCGATATAATCTGTTGTTTCCATGTAATGCAGGTACTTGTGTCCACAGGGAAGCTGCAGAGAAATAAATGGCTACCCCGGCGAGTGCTCGTAAGTCCTAATCCTGTTAACTTGCCCATAGCATAGGCTGAGATTGGACGGTCCATGGTTTAACCTATATGAATCTTCTTAAGCTTGCCCGTCAAGCTGAAACATAAGTCTAGGCCAGAAAAAAAAAATGAAAGTGAACGACGAGTCATTGTAGAGGCCCTTGTCTGCGATCAGGCCATGATCAGTTTTACTCACCATGTCTTTTGATCATTAAACATAGATATGCATTAGCATTAGAAAGTTCAATTGAGATCGAAGAGCATAAGCCTATTGCCCTGCATTAATCATTTCAAAAACTATTTAAAGGTGTGCAAGAATAGTAAAACCATGGTCTATGTGAAGCCAAGCAGATGTGAATTTGGTGTTGCGCTTACAGATAAACCGGAGGTGAAGAAGTTGACAATCTTGACAGTCTGGTCTCGGTCTTTTCAGTAGACTAAGTTGCTGTCTTTTACCCTTGCTCATACTGACCAAAAGTCTGCTGGACATGACAGATTCGGAACGGTTCCGGCAAACGTGATCATGGCGAGTAATTCGATCCGGAACAACAAGAGATTGCACATCCTGGAGAGATTGGCCAACTCATCCTGGATAGAAGCTGCCTACACGGAGAGAATTAGCTCCATCCACACGGTCAGTCCTAGGTACGGACAACTTTGTTCGAATTCGTAACCATATCAATCCATCTTGTTGCGATTATGTTATCGCGAACGCAAACTACTTCCTTTCTGCAGCACTCAGGAGTTCACATGGATCAAGACACTCACAAGGTCATACCTGGGGCAATCAGCTTCCATTTCTCAGAGCATACAACATCTGAAGACCCAGAAAGTTGAGGGCTCTGCCTCCAGTGCAAACTCATTCCCAGGTCAGAGCCTATTCTTATAAATAAAGGAAAAAACAAAACCTTGTTTTCACTGAAAAGAGAAGTTTTCAACTGAATCATCTGTCAATGTTTGTAATTGTTTGACAGATCAGGATTCCATGTTGTGGATGCTTCTGTCAGCTGCCCTAGTGTGCTGCTTCTACAATGTATGATGGAGAAAACGGGCCTCTTATATTTTCATTTCTAGACTTAGGCATATATTTAGTATTTCAATACTCGTGTTCATGGTTATGGAATGGAATGTCGTTATTCTGTCCGATGGATCTCTTCAAGTGAAAAAGGAAGCTGTCTTGTCGAGATAGTCTTGATTGACAAGTACAACATAAAAGCGAGAATTGATAAATTGGATTCCCATTATTTCCCAAGATTTCTATACTCATATTTTGGATATGAAGCATTAAAGTACTTCTGGAAAGATTATAATTTAGATTCACGAATTATCCAGATTCACATCTTGCCATGAAAGAAACTAATGTTCGCTAGCCTATAACAACCCCAACAATGCCTCCGCAAAAGAATTCCCGAGTCCATATCTTTGCAGAAATTCGAGAGGGAGAGATTGTTGAGTTGCTATTATTCTTCTTTTGATTAACAAATTGGAAGCGAAGATGGTAAAGTGCGTGGCCTTGGCGTTGGCGGTGGTGATGCTCGCCTCGGTGGCAGCCTCCGCGATGCCCGAGATAGTCGCGACCCCGATGCTGCCCAAGATAGGCGCGAGCCGCGTCGAGGTCGTCATCGACTGCAGCCAGCCAGATTGCACCAACAAGTGCACGGCGGCGTACGGGTACATAAGCTGAATACGTTTGTTTTGGTCCCAATTTGCTTTTTTTGCTCCAATGCTTCAATAAATAAAGAATTTCCTTTTTTTTCTTCGGTGATTGTAGACTGATTTTGAATTGATATACTGTTTTTTTTTTTTCAATGGTTGATATCTTGTGGAAAAATCGCACCCGAGTTCTTAATACTTACGTATCGGAACGCAGCCGAGCTCTGAATCGAATCCTAAGCATTCGGAAAGTGCAAATCAAATCCTAAATCTCTACCGTAAGGCGCATGTATGTATGTCGGGGAATTCAATTTGAGGTTACCAAGTAGGCTTTTTTATTGTTGCCCGAGTACTTTCGGGTGTTTTTTCACCAAAAAGACTGAAGTGCACTTTTTTAAAAAGTTTAAGATTCGATTATACTAATCGAAAAATTTAAGAATCGATTGCATTTCGAAACTAAGTTGTAACCCCAATAAAATAAAATAAAAAAGAGTAGAGAGTGGTGCTTGGCTGCTGCCCACATATCAACAGATTTGGGTCCTTTCTTTAAACCGGATTAGAGTTAATGTGTTATTGTAATGTTAAAGTTTAGGCGCTAGTAACAAGGTAAGTCTTTAATTATGAAGTATGAAATAAAAAAAAATGGAAAGTGAATATATACATGGGAAAATGACACAAACAATCCTTGAACTTTGACTCAATGTGCAATTTGATCCCTGAACTTTTAATTTGTTTAATATAATCCCTGAACTTTAACTGAATGTTCAATATGATCCTTGAATTTTTAATTTGTTCAATGTGGTCCCTGAACTTTTGACTTCACATCTACATATAGTCCGGGGACTAAATTGAACATGTACCAAAAGTCTAGAAACCACATTGAACATTCGGTTAAAGTTTAAGGACTACATTGAACAAATTAAAAGTTCAGGGACCAAATTACACATTGGGCCAAAGTTCAAGGACTATTTATATCATTTTCCCTATATACATTATGAAATTTCCAAATATATATTTGTTTACATTATGATGTGGAATAAGTTGTAAATAATTTCCCAAACCGGATCGATTGTCAAAGCTAGGATTGCGACTCGATTGAAGATATTCGCATTTGATACACTTCTTGATCATCATTCTTTAGACTTTGCCTGTTTCTCAAAAAATAAACGATTTGGAAATCATTTATTAAAAATTATTGCTTATATTGCTTACAAAAACAAATGAACGAAATATATTTTCATCGTTCATGAAAATATCAATTTAAACGTAAACTATTGTCAATAATGAAATCGTTTCCCATTGGCTAAAATTTTTCAAGCTATACGAGCGATCATTTTTAGGAAATTATTTTCTAAATCATTTATTTTCCGTAAAACGAACCAAATGAGTTTTCTTATTCAGGTAGAGAAGTTTTCAATTCATGGATTCATCTTTCTGTAGTTTACTAAATGTACACCCTGACATTCCCTGATAGGTTGAGCAGAACAGAGTAAAGAACCTTTTGCACTTCAGACAATTAGCATGATTCATAAGAGACTCGCAGCATAAGATCACGGTTTCGTTACAGATGATCACGAAGGGATTTTACAGGATGTGTCCAACTAATATAGAACTCTTCTATCTTTCTTGATGTTGTTTCAAGGCGAAATCGATCTGGGAATGATGATATCCCCGATGTTGTTGTGCCACGGATCGGCAAGGTGCGTCGCCAAATTCTCCAGAGGCCCGGTGCCGGGGTAAGCCGATTGCTGGACGCAGAATCCAACGAACGCCAAGATTGCCAGACGACCTTTATCCATCACATCCACGGACAAGTTAGGCAAATTTTTTCTACTTGATTGGAGAAATAACATAAAGTAAATGTTGGTATGAATTTTCGACAAAAGCTTTGGGAAAAGCGTTCCGAGGCCGCATCGGTTTCTTACCATTCTTGATCTCCTTCACTTTGAACTCCTCGAACTTGACGGGGTCCTTGGAGTAGCCAAGGGGGTCGAAGGCGCCACCGGGGTACTTCTTCTTCTCCGGGTCCTTCTCCATGCTGCGCTGGTGCTCGACAAAGGCAATGGAGAGGAACTCGATGGCAAGGATGGTGGGCAAATTTCCCCACGGGACCGGGTTGCCCAAGTAGGTGGCCTGGCCTCCGGGCTTGGCCGCCCACTCCTGCGCTTGCACCCAGTTTCCTAAGCCCAAGGCTTCCGGCACCAAGATCCCGGGCTGCGATGATCCCGTCGATGCAAAAGAGCAATAGCCAATTAAATACTAGACTCCGAGAAATCTTAAGAGAAGATTGAAGAAAGAAACAGATCATCTTCATGAGCCAATCAAGTGTAACAGCAGTAATTCATAAATCTCAATGACAGAAGTCTGTCATCTACGTTTTCTAAGCTGCATCACCATAAACTATCTCGTTACCGTGATACCAAGTCCATATATCAGCTACTAGGAAGTGCAGTGCAGACTACTTACGACAGCAAGCATAGCCCATCTGCAGTGGATGAGTTCCGACTCCTTGAATCTCTCCAGGTTCTCCGGAACTTCCCCGAGCCGAAGCGGGTCGAACCCGAAGTCGCTGCATCCACGAAAACACCCTTTAAAGACGGGGGCGCCAATCAAACACACTCTCGGAAGGGGTTGCTATTAGCATCGAGATTCTGATTAGTGATTACCCGGGAGCCGAGCCGTCGAGGTAGGGTGGCCGGGGCTGGCCGGGCATCCAGTCCGCCGACATGGAGAAGCGCGACGCGGCGTTCGCGGATGCGGGGGCGCTCGGGAGCGGGACCGCGGCGGCGAACTTCGACTTGGAAGAGGAGAGGACGGATGGGAAGGCGGTGGTGGAGACGCCGCAGCTCATCAACGAGTTGGCGGCCATCGGAGACGATTGAGAAGTCTTCCGAGAATGCGGCGAGAGAGAGAGGGAGAGATGAATGAATGAATGAATGGAGTGGAAGAGACAAGCTCGTGCTAGTTGTAGCAGACAGAGCTTGGAACAAGGAGATCTTAGCGAATCTGAACTTAGGTTGCCATTGGCTCATTATCTGCGGAGACGCAATGGGACTGTGCCACGTGTCTTTCGTCGATCCAATCTGGTGTCGACGTGCGATTTTTCTTCGCTGGATCTTGCGTACGGCTTTTCTGTGGTGGAGGATTTAAGCTGCATTGATTCAGGTTTTTCTTTTCCAGAAATACTTGGGGAAAATGAAAATAAATAAATGAAAACAAAACCATCGTCTCTCTTCATGGTACGTTCTTCACATTTAGGGATTTCCATTGATCCGTTTCAAGATTTTAAACGGGTTAATACCGCGAAAAATCCCAAACTGATACATCTGTGACAAATTTATCTTTTATTAGTTTCTTTTAAATTTTACCGTCAAATTGCTGAGTTGGATGATATGTAGAAGTTGACGGGTATACCAGTTTGGAGTTTTACCCTTCCGTTTGTCACGAGTTTATCAATTTGTGATTTTTTGTTATATTAATCCACTTTAACGGAGGGTAAATTTGTCACAAGTGTATCAATTTGAGGTTTTTTTTGTCAAAAAATTAGTTTTTATTAAATTTGTTACAGATGTACCAGTTTAGGATTTTTTATAGTCAAAAAATTAGTTTTGAGTAATTGTCACAAATGTAATAATTTGAGGTATTTCGTAGTATTAATCATTTTTAAAAATATTTCAATTTTTACCTCTAAAGACATGTAATTTAATACTTTCTGACTTTAAAATTCCTCATGGATTTAGATTAGATATGTTAAGAGCTGAAGTTTAAAGTCGGAAACTGTTAAATTACCCTAATATAGAGGGGTTTTACCTTTCCGTTTGTTACGAATTTACCAACTTTTTGAATTTTTTTCCTTTCTTTTCTTTTCTTTTTTCCTTTTTCTTTTCTCTTTCTTTTCTGGTTTTCTCTTTGTTCTTCACCGGTGGCCGGCAAAGCTCAAGAAGGGTTGGGCGAGGGTCATCTAGCCCGATCTAGCGAGGGTCGCCCTCGCGCAACCCTTCCCGGGTTTCACCAGTGGCCAAGAGAAAACCATAAAAAGGAAAAAAGAAAAGAAAAAAGAAAACAGAAATAAAAATAAAATATAAGTTAAAATTAAAATGATTTTTGGACAAAAATACCCTTAATTGGTCGGGATATTTTGCCGGTCGGCGACCAACGAGGTTAGGCCCTTATTTGAGACTCTCATGGCCACTTCAAGCTCTTATTTGAGACTGACATGTCACTCCAAACCCTTATTTAATATAAAATCTATTTTATGCCTTATTTAAGAAAATGAGAGCACTTCATGCCTTTTTTTCCAAAGAAATATTAGAAAATCGCCCATAAAAAATGGTGATGAATGAATATTGTTCTGATGGAAGCGAATCCCTTCTATTCGGCATAATA